CACATCGTTTGTCATGGAGAAAATAGACATAGTTGCATTGGAATCTCCTCACCATTCCGACCAAATCTGTAAACCTACCTTTACCTGAAGCCATCTCACCTTTCACCCCTGTCGTATGAGATGACAGTCCCTCCTCCTGGCAAAGGCCAGTGTCCCCATTTCCCATTGTGTTGTCTCAGGGAGCTGTGCCACTCACGGCCCCCACTTTCTCCTGAAACTCTGACTCCCTCCATCCCCTTGGTATAGGACATCATAAAACAGCAGCCTGCAAATGGCCTTCCCCGTACTCTGTCTCCCTCCCCTCCCTTCACAGCCATGCTTTTCCAGAGAGTTCTTTTCACACCTGTCTCCATTCTCTCACCTCCCACTGACTCCTCGACTCACCTTGCTTGGGCCTCACCCCCAGAACTCCCCCCAGGACTCTGGCTAAGGCCCCTAGCGACCTCCACATTGTTGAACCCTGTGGATGACTGTGTCTTCATCTTTCTGCCCTCCCTGCAGCCACCGTGCCCTCTTCCCAGTGCTCCACGGCAGCACCTTTCCTGGTTCCCATAGCTCTGGCCCTGTTTCTCATCCCCTTTGCTGGCTCCTCCTCTTGTGTGTGGTAGATCTTCAGGCCTCCCTCCTTGGGTCTTCTCTTCTCACTGTACATTCTCCTCTTAGGCAATCTCATTCACTCCCATGGCTTTTGTTGTCTTGAAGACAGACCCCTCCTTTGGGAACCCAAATTGTGTAGACTATTCCCTGCTTTATGTGGCTACTAGAGAAAACTCCCAAGCATCTCAAACTTAACATATTCCAAAGTGAACTCTTGATCCTACTTTTCTGAAACCTGGACCTCTCCCAGGCTTTCCCATTTGGGAGAATGACAACCCCATTTATTTGGTGCTAGCAGAACTTGGAACACAAGGACACAGTTTCCCCGACTTGTGGTCCAGGGCTAACTGAGGCAGCATTAGCAAAAGCTACATCTATATGGCACCCACACTCGTGCTATTTATGAGCCCAATCCAGGAGTCTGTAATATGCTTTGAAATAACAGAACTCTTACTTATCTCTTGATTTTCCACAAAGCAGTGGCCCGAAGTAAAACCTCTCCATCTTCATAATATACTTCTTAAAGATGACCTCATTTATCTTCATGTCCATCTTCTGCTGAGGGAAGACCACTCTGAACACAGGGGAGGAAGAGATGGGGAGAGGCTCCCTGAGTGGAAGCTCAATGCTGCCACGTGATGGTCACATAAACCCAACACTCCCTGTTCAGCAAACGGTCTAAGTGTCTGGAGACAAGGTGCCTCAGTTAGAGGATCTCTGTTGAACCTTTATCCCAGCCCTCTGCTCTCAGAGGAGATAGTATGGTTTGACCCTGAGAAAAAAGATTCCCAGTGGTGGCTTTCCTAATGAGGGCTGATGACAGAGCTGACTCGGATGTTCTGTCTTAGTGCATCTGGCTAGAAAGATTCCTGAGGATCCCTATGGAAAACTAGTTCTGGTAGGTAATTAATTAGTTTCTCAGTTCCTTGGTCCAGTGTGGCCCTTTGGTGAGGATTGCAAAAATGCTCCCCTTGGTGGGCCAGCTATGAAAGGTCCTTTCTCTAGGGGGAGTTGCCCCGCTGGCTTGCTCAGCCAGGTGCCTGTTTGTTGTGCACGAGCTGTGCAGTGTTCAGCAGCTCAGAAACAAGTCTGCCCATGGAGATGTACACATATATTCATATCAGAGGATGCATAGTAAATACGAAACTGGTTTAAATTTGCTTAATAATTAAATAAACAAACTTACCTGCCCAAAGGAAGACTTTTTCCCTTCCTTTTTACACTTGTTATCAATGTCTTTATCTCAGTCTGGGAATGCCCCGTGGTATCACATCATCCCCGTGGCTCTTGGTCAATGTCCAAGACACTGAAGACTGATACAAGAAGAGGGTCTGGGATGCTGTCCCAGCTCCACATTGTTATTAAGAGCCACCTTGTTCAAAGTACCATGGGGGAAAACTAAAATGTACCTATCAACCTTTTCTTTTAAAATAAAATACACTTACTTTGGGTCTTGACAAATGTACGGGTAAGAGCAGACACCCCGACAGTAAAGCTGGTACTGGCGGCGAGTTCCAAGGACCTCAAAGTTAAATGTTTGGTCAAAGTTACCAAGATCGTTGGAAGAGAAGTGCACTTGCAGCGTTACCTCACCATTGGCTGGCACGATCCACCGGAAGTGGTTCACCCTGCAAATGACCACATGGGTTTTTTAAAGTGAGAGTGCTTCCTTCTGGCCAAGAGAAGACAGGAGAGCTGCCTGGGAGAAGTCCAATCTTGCTAGAGTTAGGCATGGTGGGCCACAGGGCCCCACAGGCAGGACAGCCCTGTCCCCATCTGGTGCTAAAGTGAGAGTGCTTCCTTCTGGCCAAGAGAAGACAGGAGAGCTGCCTGGGAGAAGTCCGATCTTGCTGGAGTTAGGCATGGTGGGCCACAGGGCCCCACAGGCAGGACAGCCCTGTCCCCATCTGGTGCTGTGACAGCCGCACCCTCGATCTGGGGCTTCAGCATTCCCCTCCCCAGGTTGCTCAGAGGCCCACCTGATGATTTTCTCCTGGGACTGCTGCCCACTGACGTTGCTCTGGTCTGTGTCTGACAGGGGGGCAATGGTTCCATCAGTTCCCGCAGAGAGGCCCTTCTTGTTGACGGCCATGCGACGCTTGTCCTTCTGAGTCTCATGGATTTGCTCTGGTTTCTCTTTCATTTTTTGTCTACTCCCCTTAGGTGAGGAGTTCTGCTCCTCTTGAGCCTTAATTAAAAATGAGCACGAGGTCTTAAATACTCACATACACACAGATAGAAGACAGAGACGCCTAGCACACGTCTGCAGTCTGGGGTGATGGCACTGCAGGGTCAGGAAGCCTCGAGAGGGGCAGGGCCCAGTCTCACGTGGTGGTAACAGGACCAGTCTTTCCCTTGGCACCCCATTCCCCAAGAAGAAGAAAGCTCAAATCTGGCAGGGAGCATGTGGAAGTAGAGTTTTAGCTCCTGACAGTATCCCACCATAGCCAGCTGGGCTTCCAGTTTTCTCGGCATTGCTAGACCAGTTACCCCTGCATGCTTGTTGTCTACTTTCTAAATTTTTAGATTAGAAATATGGTGGCATGTTCTATTCACCATCATCTCCTCTCCCCTTCTCTTTGTTCTTAGGATTTGTATATTAAAAAAAAAATTCTTACTGTTTTGGAAAGGAGTAGAGATAATCTGGCATGTTTAAGAAGAAGTTCCCATTTTTCTAGCAGTATTTTCATGTTTCCTGATAAAACTTTTTCTCTTTTATTTTTGCCTTTTAATTTATTTATCATTTCCATCTTTCTGTTTTAGAAAACTTTCACAGTTGAAGGCCTAGTATAGTAATAACTAGTTATAACAGTTATTAACATTTAGCCATATTTACTTTATCTATTGTTTTTTCTTATGAACCATTTGCAAGTAAGTTGTAGACATGATGACTTTTTGCCTTGAAATACTTGCATCTCCTCAGAGCAAGGACGTTCTCCTGCACTATCACAATACTATTATCACACCTAAGAAAATGAACAGTTCTATAATATCATTCCAGCACATATTAAAAATTTCCTATTTGTCCCAGGCATGTCTTTTATATCCATTTTCCTCCAAATAATTATGTAATCAAGGTTCCTATGTTGTGTTCTGTTGTTGTTTCTTTAGAATCTTTTAATCTAGACCCTTGCACTCCCTTTCAGTCACATTGATTTTGTGGAGAGACCAGATCGTATTCTTATGGGATATCCCGTAGCTTGAATTTTTCTGACTGTTCTCACAGTGTCATTTAATTTATTCCTTTATTCCCTGTATTTCCTGTAAACTGAAAATTAGGCTTAAAAGCTTGGTTAAATTCAAGGTGATGCCATGTACTCCATACTCCATCACAACACGGGACACATAATGTCAGGCTGACTCATGGTTACAAATGCAAAAGTGTGTTCATGTGGCCAGGACTGTGTCTGCCAGATCTGCCTGTTGTAAAGTACACTGTTCCCTTTGCAGTTAGCCAGTCACCTGTGATATGGTGTTCTGGCTGGTGTGTCTTGTTCCCTAACAAACTTTCACCTACTGCTTTTTGCATTCATTGATGATCCTTAATCAATTACAGATGCTCCTGGACTTACGATAACAGTTACATCCTGAATAATCCCTCATAAATTAGAAATATTGTAAGTTGAAGATGTATTTAATACACTAACTTACTGAACATCATAGCATAGCCTACTCCACCTGAAACGTGCTGAGAACACTTACATTAGCCTACAATTGGGTGAAGTCATCCAACACAAAGCCTATTTTATAAAGTGTTGAATATCTCATGTAACTTATTACACACTGTACTGAAAGTGGATAGCAGAATGATTGTATGGATGCTATTGTACAGTCAAAAAATTGTAAGTTGAACCATCATAGGTCAGAGACCACTTGTATTTCACTGGGAATAACAAAATAGTGATTTTCTAATTCTATCATTCTTTCTATAATTTTAAACTGCCATTCTTCTAGAACGAAGAGCTTTCATTCATCAGCTGGGGAAGAATTAGAGTTCTTCCTAAAATGACAGGTTAAAGAATGCTTAATTCTTTCTTTTTCATGGCCAATTTTCAGAATAAGAAATTGGTGCAAAAGTAACCTCTGATGATGGTGGCATTTTTTCTTCTTTCTTTCTTTTTTTTTTTTTTGAAATTTTACTGTCGACTTTCTGCTCTGGTGAGGCACACCCACCCATGCCACTGACCTCTGGTGTTGATTTCCTGGTAAATTGAAGTTTGGGGTAGTCTCTGTCACCTAATTAAGCCATAGGCAGGGCCTACGGGAGATTTTATTTGCTCCCTTTTCTGATGTGCATGGTTTGTAGGAGGCTGTGTAGAGATATTCAAATTCTGGACACCATTCTTCTCTTGAAATAAAAGCCCCTCTATAAATTTTAATATATATATATATATATATATATATTTCTGCCTATTATTGGTTAAATCTATTTTCCTTTGTGATCTATTCTATAGACACCATTCTTCTCTTGAAATAAAAGCCCCTCTATAAATTTTAATATATATATATATTTCTGCCTATTATTGGTTAAATCTATTTTCCTTTGTGATCTATTCTATGAATTGTATATATTTTCTTCTATTTCTATATTATTTTATTTTGATTATTTATATTTTTAATCCAGCTGGAATTTATTATACTATATTGTAGCAGGCATGGAGATAAAAAAAATGTTGCCATCATTATTTAATCATCCGTCCTTTCTCTAGTGATGTGGATTCCCTTAGCTTGTTGATTCTTATATTCTTAAACACTGTGAATCACCTTAGCTCACAATGCATTTTAATCTCTTTTAAAAAGAGCTAGATTTGCTTATTTTTTCTTGCAGATAAGCTTCAGAATAATTTGACAAGTTCCCTAAACACTCCATGGGGATTGGAAAGGTTGGAAGATGACAATCAATCATTTTCAGTCTCTGCTTGGGGAGTAGGACAAGTTAGGGAAGGCACAGTTTAGGGAAGATCAGGGAGGGTCTTTAGGCAGGATCCCTATAAGTTGTGCCATGGATTGAATTGTGTCCCCCCAAAGTTAAGCATTTTGAAACTTACTCCATACTGTGATAGTTGCTAAGAGGGTGGGAAATACTATTATGGTAATTGAGAAGTGAATGGATTAATCCATTGATGGTTTAATGGTGGTCATGGCATAGTTCTGATGGCTTTAAAAAGGCAAGTGCATGAGAAGCTCTCTCTCTCTCTCTCTCTCTGCTCAGACATCCGTTCTGTGTGACCCTGCATCACTATGTAGAACAAGCCAAGAATAAGGCCCTCACCAGATGTGTTCCCTGGACTTTGGACTTCCCAGCCAATGAAACTGTAAGCAATAAATATTGTTTCTTTATAAATTGCCCAGTTTCAGGTATTCCTGGTTTAAGCAACAGAAACAGACTATACAGGTTGAAAGTGTTCCCCAAAAGTTCATGTGTTGGGAACTTGATTCCCATTGTAACAGTGTTAAGAGGGTGGGAAATCTGATTACAGTATTTGAAAGGTGGGGCCTTTGGGAGGTGATTGGATCATGAAGACTGTGCCCTTGTGAATGGATTAATCATGGAGCAATGGGTTATCTTGGATGTGAACTGGTGGCTTTATAAGGAGAGGACATGAAAGTGCTCTGGGCATTCCTGCCATGTGACACCCTGGTGTCAGGATTCTGTAGAGTTCCCACCAAGAAGGACCTCAACAGATGTGTTCCCTGGACCTTGGAATTCCCAGCCTCCAAAACTATAGGAGATAAATTTAATTTCTTTATAAACTACCCAGTTTCAGGTATTCTGTTATCAGTGACAGAAAATCGACTGATACAATCACCAACAAGTCGAGGGAAAATACACCTCAGTGAGCACAACAACTCACACCAGACTCAATTTTTGGCCGTGTGGTGGGTGACCTTCCCTCCCTGCCCTGTGAAGTCCTGCCAAGGTCAGGAGAACAAGCTGCGCACGATTTACCTTCATAGCGATCATGGTGGCTGAGAGCTCTAATTCTGTTTCTACTTCTTTTTTTTCGTCCACTAGGGAGAGCTCATCAGATGGTGGGACCACAAACACAAAATGCTTCAGGACATCTGTTGTGGCCAAAGGCAGCCGCTTCACAGGGTAGGAGATGATTGAGAATAAGGCAGGAGGTGGAATGGGTGGTCCAGAGGAACCCAGACCCAGGATGTCCAGGATCTAAAGGAAAGGCTCATTGTTAATTTCCTGTGCAAAACCCCATGCCTGTCTTATTATAGCCCTTGTCACACTTTACTGTGACTGTCTATTGTCTGTCTTTGCAATTGGACTGTAAATGAGAACAGGAATCAGGTAGATACAACACATGGCCTAGCACATAGTAGGCACTGAATAAATCTCTGTTTAATTTAAAGGGATCAGTTCTTAAGGTTCTGATGTCCACAGTATAGAGTTGCTCCATCTATTTTCAGATTCCGTGTTAGTTTTTCTTTTCTTTCTTTCTTTTTAAAAATGTTCTTACCTTATACTGGTGAAAGAAAGTTAAGATGGGAGCAGATCAAATACAGCAAAGAAAAAAAAAAAACAACAACAACAAAGGTTCTGGGAATGGGGTAGAGAATGGGAATGATGAAAAGTCAAAAAGAAACTTGAGAGAGAGAGAAAATTGATTCCTGCAGCATTCTCCCACTCTGCTCTGATAGATGAAAGAGTGATCTCCAGAGAAGGTGGGTTGACAATTTAGTACCAACTTCTTTCCCAGCATGTAAAGACCGTCAGAATAAGCATACGGTCCCTAGCTTAATTGCTGTTATCACAACAGTAAATGTTATAGCCCACCTGAGTGTCCATTTTATGGACCAAGGGGCCTTTCAGGCCTAGCATGTAACCAGCTACCCTTCATGTAATCCCGCGTTTCTCATTCTGTGGGTCAGGGAGCTAAAGGCTTTTCCTGGCTAATATGTAGCTAGAGGTAACTCCCAGGATTTACAATGTCTGTGAAGAAAGAGATAAATAATTTGTACCAATTATTAAATACCAGAGTCAGGGAGTTCTTCAGGCCACATACTAACCTATGACCTGGAATGTGAAGTGTACACAACAAGGCAAAAGATGTTCTTGCTGTAGTTCTTTTTCAAAGAACATATTTCTGAAAAAAACAATCACCACAATTCCTTACCTAAGGCTGGCCTGAGGCCAAACTGAGATGAATGAAGCTGGTGTTGTGTGTGTCCTCCAATGACTTCTCCTCTGCTGGGGCCACCCTGAACCACAGCAGCAGGACTCTTACTGTGAGGCCACATCATGTCACGCCTGCCCTCTCGAGGAATTACTTGCATCTTCCCACTGACCCTCACCTGCTGTAAGGCCCTCTCAGGGCATGTTGTCTACTTTTTAAGGTTGCATCTAGTTTCTGATAAACTAAACCAGAGGTTGACAAACTGTGGCCCCTGGCCACATCTGCGCTTCTACTTGTTTTTGTAAATACAAATGTATTAGAATACGGTCATGCCCATTCGGTTACATATTGCTGGAGGTCGCTTTGAGTTGAGTCGTTGTGACAGAGAGTGTATGACCTGCAGCCTAAAGTATTTACTTTCTAGTTCTGTGCAGAAAAAGTTTGTCCCTGGACAAAAGGCTTTAATAATCCTCCTCTCCAAATCACTACCAAAGGTGGCTTTTGGATTTGCAATGCTTTTGTTCATAGGAATGAAAAAGCTATCAATAGAATAATTTCTGCCACTGTAGGAGGGAGGCTTGTGGGAAAAAGATTTTGGAGTAGTTGAAATCTCAAAGAACATCTGCCTTCACCCCAAAGAACATCTGCCTTGCCATCTCGTAGCACCAGTACTGTCAATATTAAAAATCAACCACACAGGTGGCTTTTTATGAGGTTAGATGGAATAAATTAGATCTGTGGAACTTCCTATACATTTTCTTTTGTCAAGTAGATAAAGGACCTTTTAGCCATTATTATCTTAATTCTAAGGGGCATTAATCAGAGATTAATGCAGTTAAGGTGACATGGATTTTAGGTAGAAAGAAACACTTTTAGTGATGAGTAGCATGACATCTGCTACCTGATTTGTTACTTCTGCCCCCTGGAGGAGAGGTTGTACCTGATCCCCTTTGGGAAGCCTGTCATTCTCCAGGGCCTGCTTCCAGCTTGAGCCTGCAAAGTCTGGAGACTGGATGTTGAGGAACGGCACACCCAGATCCTTCTTGCCTTCGTGGTCCTCATCGCCTTCTCCATCCCCGTTGCTCCGCTCCTCCATGGCCCTCAGCCTCTCCAGACGCTCCCTCTCCACTCGCTCCCTCTCCAGGCGCTCCCTCTCCAGCCGCTCCCTCTCCAAGCGCTCCTTCTCCAAGCGCTCCCTCTCCCGCTCCTTGCGGCCCCTGCGCCCACCCGATGGCACCTGGCGCTGGTCATCGGGCTCATGGGACACGTCCTCCATCCCTGAGTGCAGCAGCAGAACTCCTTGCTTCCGGTCCCAGCACATGAGAATGTTCTGGATATCTTTTAAACTCAACTCATAGATTTTAAACTTCTGGGCCAATTGCTTTTCAGTGTCCTTCTGGATGTCCCCTTCGGTGTCCTCTTGTTCTTGGGCAAGAGGAAACCCAGACACGTTGGCATCGGCCACGTTCTTTTTTTTCTTGTTTACGTCTTCCTTCTCAGACATTACTGACTCCCAAGCAGATACTTTCCTTTCTACTGCCTCTTTGACATCTGGTTTGATTAAAGGAAGAAACTAGAAGGCAAAACACATAAAATATGCTTAAAGGTAGTTTTTAAAGGGAGAGCAAATTGCATAAGGAACAGCAAGAGGACATTTTGTTCATAACGAGGCCTCATAGGATTACAGGCACCTCTTACGAACACCCAGGTTGCTGGGGTCTTTACTCTAAATATCCATTCCATGGTCCTTCCCTGGAATAGATCTGGCTGAGTCCTGGCTTGTGCATTTTGAAAAATGTGCAGAATGACTTTGATGTGTACTCCTGGCTGAGAGATGATGTTCTGAAGGATCAAGGCGAAAAGACCAGCACACACCAGTCTTCTGCATCTGCTTTCAAGTGCCCTGGGACAGGCCATAGAGGGCAGTGGTCCAATCCCGGCTGCTCTGCATGTTAGCTTTGGGACCCTGGGTGAGGACTTAGCCTCTCTCTGCCCACCTGTACAATGGGGATAGTAATATTAGTAACTACCCCAGAAGACCACTGAAGATTAAATGTGTGAATACACATAGAAAGCTTAGAGTAATGCCTGCCATGGAGTAAGGGTTCTACTAATGTTAAGTTATTAAACTTATATAGGTTTTGTATATAATGGGTGTTGTTGGGAACAAATGGGAGTTTAGAATCTGGCTGTACCCCAGACCTTTAAAAATATGTATTTACTCAATCAACTGGGCATAGAGAAACCAACTTTATTCTTTTTTCTTACTGCCCTTTTAAACTTGCTTTGTGGGTTCTGATTTTCTCCTCCCCTGGATGAAATCCTTGGGTAGCTTCCATAGCTTTTTGGGCCATTCTTTGATGTCATAAAGGCCAATTCTGGCCAATGATCACTATCTGCAGTGCAGCCCGGTGTCCCCGTTCCCAGTTACAACTCTCCTCCTCCCTGCGCACAGGGCTGATTCCAGTGTGGAGGTGTGACTGGCCAGGGGCTGGCCTCCCCCTCCTCTGACTGCATCTCCTCCCACTCCACTTCTCCATCTCAAACACAACCCGAGAGATAGCAACATGACAGTGCTGACCAAACTGTCTTATGGAGGAGCTCCAGCACCTTATTTCAGCTTGTGTGGGGAGTGGGGGGACTTGGGTCCTAGTGTATCCCTCTTGGTCTGGAGAAGCCACTGCTAAGACACCGGGGTCTGCATGGAAGGTGGGGCCCAGTGAGGAAAGATTTGTGCTTGGAAGATTGTGGGAGCCCAGCATAGAGCAGCTGGAGGCTGCAATAAATTACTAAGAATTTAGAGTATTTTAACGATATGATTAACGAGTTTTAGTGGGTGGGTGCAGAAAGAAAATATACCTATTATTCACACACAGGTGGAACATTTACAGAAACTGATCACATACGAGGCCACATAGCAAGGCTCAACATATGCGAATGATCAATATGACATAGAACATGTTCTCTGAAGATAGTATTTTAAAATCAGAAATCAAAAAAAGAAAGCCAAAGTGAAGTCATTCATTCGGAGATCAGGAAATACACTTAGAAATAATTCGTAGGCTTAAGAAGCAGCCATAAAGGATGGTAGAAAATATTAAGACTTGAACAACAATGAAAACACTGAATACCAACAATTGAGGAATATATCTAAAATAATGTTTGAAAGTGTATATATCTTTAAATGCTTTTATAACTTTTAATAAATTGGAAAAGGAAAATGATTGACAGTTAATATGATAAGCATCCACCTTAAGAAGTTAGAAAAAGAACAGAAGAATGACATAAAGAAAGTATAAAGAAGAAAATTTTAAAAAGACAGGAACAAAAACTAATTTAGATTGAAAATAAACATACAGTGAAGGTAATCCACAAAGGCAAAAGTTGTTCCTTTGGAAATATAATAAAAATTGGCAAATGTCTAGCAAGATTGATCAGGAAAAAAAAAAGAGAAGACACAAATTACCAGTATCCAGAACAAGAGAGATGACATTACTACAGATTCTATAGATATGAAAATGGTAATATTATGAACAACATTTTGCCGGTAGATTTGACAACTTAGAAATATTGGACAAATCCCTTGAAAGATACAAACTACCAAACAGATCAAAACTACCAAGAAATAGATAACCTAAATATTTCTATATCTATTAGTAGTTAAAAACAATCCTACAGAGGAAACACGAAGCACAGATGCTCCACTGTTGAATTTTACCAAACAATTAAGACAGAAAAGAAGAGGTTAAAAAGATAGTAAGATAATACCATGAGCTGCTTTATGCCAATAAATTTGGATATATGATAAAATGGATACTTTTAAAGAAACCATGAGAGATCAAATTGACTCTGAAAGTAGAAGAAAACCTGAATAAACCTTTAATCCTAAAACAAATTCATCCAATAATGTAATGTGTAACCTAACCACATGATTTGATTAAAGAAGAAAAACAAATATGATCATATCAATGGATGCAGAAAAATCATTTGATATAATTCAATACCCACAAGTGAGAAATCTGTACAAAACACTTAAAAAAAAAACACCCCAAAACCCCAAACAAACAAAACCAACAAAAAAACCCATGTGTCTGAAAGCACTGGAGAGCCATAAAGGCAGTAATTAGTTGCAGGCTGAGATCTGGGAGAGGAGGAAATACAGAGAGGAAGGTGCAGCAGTTTGGGCTGCTTTTCCTTCAAGGGCATTTGTTGCTGAAAGTGTGGCTGAGAAGCTGAACAAAGCTTTTATAGACTCATAGGGCTGGGGTTTAAAAATTAGACTTCGAGCCTGCCGAGAAAAAGAGGTCCCAGTAAATGCTCTAGCCTCTGGGTTAGAACTCTGAAAGGCTCTGTCTTCGGAGTAAGGGTCGACCAGAAATAGCCTAGCTCTGCCAGGGACTGAAGCTCAGTCTTAAATGATCTCATCCTTATTGAATTATTGAATTGACTTCTAGCACGCCTAGCCTAGCTGTCTGCCAGAATCAAACAGTGATTCTCTCTGGAGGGAGATAACATTATCCAGAGCCTCAAATTATTTCTACAGTTTTTCCTGTTCAATATCTGGCCCTCAATAAAAACGTGGCACCCCAGGAGACAAGACCATGTGATCATAAACCAAGAGTGAATGACAGACAGAACAGACTGCTGGGGATCCACGTATTGGCTCTATCAGACAAGGACTTCAAAAAATTGTTTAATATGTTGAGAGAATTAAAAGACAAGATTAAGAATTTTGAGGAGAACGAGAAAAGAATGAATGGCTTTCCAATGCAATAACAAAATTAAGAACTGAAAGGAAGATTAGACTTCACTGAAGAAAAACAGTGAACTAGGCAATACGTCAGAAGAAAACATACAGTGTGAAGCAGGGAGAGATAAAAGTTTGTGAAAGAGAAAAAGCATGAGACAAGTGACATACTGTGAAAAGTTTGCAAAAAGGCCTAGCACATGTATGATTGACATCCTGGAGGGAAAGGAGAGAAAGAGCAGAGGGGAAGTAATTTTGAGGAGTTAATAGCTAATGGTTTCTGTGTCACAGATTCAAGAATCATATAAACCCCAAGCAGGATAAAATATAAAGAAAACCACACGTAGGCAAATTATAGTAAATGGTTGAACAAAGAGACAGTATCTTAAAGATGTAGAGACATCTTAAAGACAGAAAGAAACACCTTACAAGCAGTTAGAGAAAAGAGAGAGACTAACACTGGAGGAACACAGTAATGCTGACAGCTGATGTCTCCACAACGACATGGAAGGCAAAGATGGAAAAATGTTATCCAAGTGCTGACGGAAAATGGCTGCCAACTTAGAGTCCTACCTAGAAAATACACCCTTCAAAAATTGAGGTAAATTAGAGACATCTAGGACAAACACAACCTGAGTAAATTTGTTGCAAAGAACCTGCACTAAAAAACCAAAAAAACAAAAAACAAAAAACACCCAAGAGTGTTCTTTAGGCAAAAGAAAAATGAGACTCAATGAAAACTCAGAGTTGCAGGAAGGAATTCAGAGTGCTGAGAAGGGTGCTGATGCAGGTAAATATAAACGCGTATTGGTTGTTTTCATCAATAACAATGATGAAAGTGTGGCTGAAAAATATGTACTGAGAAGTAAAATACATGTATCCATTAGCATGTAAGTTAGAAGGGGGTAAATATGGTAAAATTGTTCTAAGACTTTTACATGTTCGACAGAACATATTTAAGGTACTGGTTGAAGAAAATGAAATAATTTCTATTCTGTTCACACACTATTTAATCAAGTGATTACATATATCAAAATTTCTGCTAGATGTTCAAGTGTACGTTAATAAATAACACTAATAGCCAATGCAAAATAAACCATTTATCCAAAATATAGGCATAGAGTTAAATCTTTTTTTTTTTTTGAAGGATAATGTTTGGGAGGAAATTTGCTTTTATGGATCTGAAGTAAGAAATTACAGCTAGAAAGACTTATTTGAGGCAGGAAGGCAAATTGAGATGGACAGAATTGGGTTTAAGGTTGAGTGGGGGAATAGGCAAAAAAACGTTTGGACAGAAAAGAGAAAAGGTTAAGAGAAGAGACAAGGACAACAACCAATGCGAGGCTTTCTTCTTCTACGGTGAGAAACCATCATTTATGTGTTTAAAACAGGGTTAGGTTTAGTTGAAGTGTGCTGTTGGCAAAAAAACGTTTGGACAGAAAAGAGAAAAGGTTAAGAGAAGAGACAAGGACAACAACCAATGCGAGGCTTTCTTCTTCTATGGTGAGAAACCATCATTTATGTGTTTAAAACAGGGTTAGGTTTAGTTGAAGTGTGCTGTTGGAGTGGTTTAGATTTCTGTAAACAAAAACTCTTTTAACACATAACAGACTTTTTTAAGAGACAGGGAAGGTTGGAGCAGGAAGGAAACTGAGAAATCATCTAGTTCTTAGACAAGGAAACATTGGCCCAGAGGGAGAAGGACAAATTCAAAGCCACACAGCTAGTTAAGGAGTAGAAATCAGATTAGTCCTTGAGTTTCTGGACTGATACATGTATTTATTACTCCCTGTCCTATCCCCCATTGTAGTGGGCATCTGTGATATTTTTTTCTTGTCAACATCCTTTTATTTCCTATCCTCTATGCTTGCTCTACGTGACACCTCTTACTCAAGGAGTGAGCAGGTGATTTAGAACTGACCACTCACAGAATGGTATTCTCCTGGCCATGGTGACTGGTTCAGAGAAAGCATGTGACACAACTTGGGACAAGAGTGAAAACCAGCACTGTGGTCTACATGTTGTTTTAATGAAGCACTCCTTTCCAGCTGGATTTGGATCTGGGAGAATGTAAGCTGGAACTTTCAGAGGCTCTCACTTTGAGGTGTCAGTCAGAGAGTAGAACCAACACAGGTGAGCCAAGAACTCTAGATGGGGGCTTATTTAGTTCTGGTGTGCAGTAATGAACAACCAACAAATCGAGTGTCCCACACATAGCAGCTATAGACTGAATAAAATAGAAAAATACCTGAGAGTTCTTGAAACTGAACAAATTAGTAAGTTTTTGGAATAGTGTTGAAACCTGTAGCAAGACACTGGCATGGGGTGTCTCCCTCCCCCTTTTTTGTGGATTTACATTGAAGATAGTCATGGCAGTGGTAGTGGCTGGTGGCTAAAACTGTAATAAAAAAACCCACTGACTTTGATTCTGGAGGAGCCAGGGAAAGAAGTCTTGGGACAGCCAGGGTCTCCAGAGAATGAAGGGAGAACCCCAGAAAGTAAGCAGCCGGAGAAGAGGAACCCTAATTCTGTGTATAAAAAACCTAAATCTCTGGCTGACCCCTGAACCATGTATGTGTGGGGCAAACTGAAAGCAGTTTGTAACTAAGGTTTAAAGAACTGAACTGATACATGCCCAGAGCAAATACAAAAGTATTAAACTTCCAACCAAGTTTAACTGTCTGCTAAGCTGAAAGTATCAACATTCTTCAAAGAAACATAACACAATACAGAGTTTATACAACATAATATTCAAAATGTCCAGGATATTATACAAAAATCCTTGACGTAGCAGAGTCAGAAAAATATTACAAATTCTCAAAGGAAAAAACAATTAATAGATACCAACCCTGAGATGACTGTGATGGAGGAGTTGTCAGATAATAACTTTATGCAGCTATTATAACTATGCTCAAGTGAGGTAAAGGAAAATACAAATACGATAAATCAAAAGAAAGAACATCTAAGCAGAGAAATAGAAAATTTTAAGAAGAACCAAGTGGAAATTTTAGAAGTGAAAAATATAGTATCTGAAATAAGAACTCTGGATGGATCAAACCTCAAGCTATGATTTTTAACTTATGTGAGCCAATAAATCTTTATTTTATTTTATTTTTATTTTTTTAGTTAATGCAGTGTAAATTGGGCTTTATTTCCTGCAACTCAAATATTCCTGACTATCTATCCACATGAGACTGTGCTAATATTGGCTGCTGGGTGGTTGCCTAGAGCCTTGCCACTCTGAGTGCGTTCCAAGAGTCCGGAGGATGGGTGTGGTGTGGAAGCTGTTAGAAATGCGTACTCCCAGGCCCCAGCCCAGCCCTGCAGAATCAGAATCTGCATTTTAACAAGATCCCAGGTGATCTGTGTGCATATTAAGATTTGAGAAGCTGATATAGAGAAAATCAGACTCACCAGTAGATTTGGCTTTACAGGATAAATAGTTAAAAGAGATAAAAGGAAATTAGATAAAAGGAAATCTGATTAGAAATGTAAAAAACTGTCCGAAAAAGAAAAATGTATTCACATATGATGCAAATATTTTTGCTTGCCTCTTTGCCAGGCACCATTCACCAGTGATCATAACAGACAAAAGCTTCCCTCAGCCTTCCTGGAGCTTATATTTTGTAGGGGTGGGTGAGGAAACAAAAATACGTCAAAATATATGGCCTGCTAGATGGTGATGAGTGCTAAGGAGAGAAATAAAGCAGGGAAAGAGGATAAAAAGTATTTTGTTTTATTTTTGCTTTTGTTTTATTCAATTTTAAGTGGAATGGCCAGGGAAGGCCTCTCTGAGATATTTGCATAAAATCCTGAAGATGCCAAATAGCCAATAAACATGTTAAACAAACAAAAAAAAAGGGCTACATCACTAACAATTCAAGAAATGCAAATCCAAATAATAAAAATAATCAATTGTTCATTCATGTAATTAGCAAGGATTACAAAGAATGCTAAAACCCATTAGGTGGGGGTAAAAGGCACACTTTTGAACTAGGGAAGCATAAAGTGAAAGAACAATCTTTTCAGGACAGTGGCATTAAGCAATACATGTCAAAAAACGTGAAAGTTTGCATACCTTAAAACCCAGGAATTGCATCTTTAGAAATGTATCCTAAGGACATAACCATGAATGTGTGCAAGGATTCAGCTATAAGCAAGACACTTTTGGTCTCATCACTATGATTTCCTTCCAAAGATATTAAGCTTATTTTGTAATAACACAGAAAAGCAGAAAAATACACTTTTTGCTTCTGCAAACTGCTCACTCTTCCTATGCCATTTCCAGAACCAGGAGAAGGCCAGGGGTTCTGATGGTGGGATTAGCACTTAGCTACACAGCAGCACAAAGAGGGGTGAGACTGCTGGAACCAGAGGTAAGGAGGAGAGCCCTTGTGTGGGATGGGTTTGAGAATGATTTAGGAGCTGGAGTCTCGCACCAGGGGTCACTGACTGGTGGGTTATGGGGTGAGGGTGCAGAAGGTGGCAGCCTCAAGGTTGACTGCCAGGATTTGGGCTTGGGAGCTGGGCGGGGGTTGGAGAGAAATACAAGGTGAGGAAGAGGTTTGGGGGAGAAGACGGCATAGATGTTGAGCTCAGTGTGGGACTTGTTGGGTTTTGAGTGTCTGAGGAACAGTTTGAAGGACGTGTCATGTGACATGGATGGGCATGTGGGGTTGAGGTCTAGGATGACTAGGGGCCTGAGAGGTGGCATTGAGGCCCAGGGAAAGGAGCGCATGCTTCGGAGCTGGATGAATGCGTCCTGCCTCTGCCCCCTTCTGGCCACGGGACCTCAGACGCGTTGCTTAACTGCGCTGAGCCTCAGTTTCCTCATCTCTAAGATGATGGTGATTATAATAGGAGCACCTGCCTTCGGGGGTGTTGTGAAGACTGGAGGTAGATGGTGATGAGACCTATTCAAAGTGCCTGGCAGGGAATGTCACATAGCAGGAACTCAGTAAACTGTAGCTGTCAGTTGTCAAAAAAGTTTGTTTAGCTGTTTTTCCTTTGTTGCCTGCCTTCCTCTCTATCCACTTTTGGGCTGACTCTCTGGATGCCCTGCGCTTCCCTTTGGAACTTGCAAAGCTCTTCCTGAATCACTCTCCTGCCCCCATCCCATTAGGTGTGACCAGTAGATAGCAAGGAGGTCATGTGTGGGATAGGGCCATCCTTAGACAAAAGGCCAAATAAGAAGAGAAGATGGCTGAGGCTGGAACCTGCAGGATGACAAGGATCAAAGGAGGTGGGGTCCAAAAGGAGCCAGAGAAAGGAAGAAAGCCAGCCAGAAAGATGGGGTCAGGACACTGAGCGGGAAGAGAGTTCAAAGGAGAGTACGGCCACCAGGGTAGATCTCACAGAGGAGGAAGTCGAGCAAGCCAAGGACTGAACCATGCACGTTGGATCTGGAAACGGAGAGGCTGGAGCCTTTGATTCGAGAGAGTGGTGGAGACAGAAGTCAGGGGAGAAAAGGTCAGAGCATGCATGGGAGGTGAGGAGGTAGAGCCTGCAAGTGGGGACGATTCTTGGAAGTTTTTGATTAAGAAGGGAAGGAGAGAGAAATAGGTTGCTAGTTAGGGGCCACCAGGGTTGGAGGCTTCTTTTTTCTTTAAAGGTGGGTAATTCTTGAGCATGAGAATGTCTTAAAAGCAAGAGGCCGGTGAGAAGAGAGATGGAAGCCAGTGCAGAGAGAGGGAACTCAATGGTGCTGAAGCCCCAAGAGCTGGAACAGCCCTTTTGATGAGGAAGCCGGGAAGTCTTCAGTCCTTCCCTTTCACCTCGGCATCTAGTTTCAGCAGGGATTTTTTTTTTTTTAAAAGGTAGAGTGTTTGCCGTCCAAGCAACTGCATTAGTCCAAGAAGAGTCTCAAGAAGTACCCCCCAGGGAATGTGATTGACTGTGTTTTGTGCTAAGCTCAAACGATACAAAACCTTGTCCCCAAATAGACGACAGTGAGATAGCCCCTACCACCCCTGCCCAAGGTCAACAAGGCACATGAAGGTACTTGCCCTGTACCCGGTAGTGGGGACGTAGGGAAGTGCTCAAGTCACAGCAAGTTGAGCTGAGTAAAACAGGGGAGATGCACATGCTCTCACTTAATAGTTTCCAACAGATTCTAGCTGGAGACCCTGACGGTAAAGTCAATGGGCAGAATTTGAGGTTAACTGGCTCCAAATACTCCTTCATTTAATGGTGAATGAAATATTGTCCTCGAAAAGCTAGGTTGGGAAGGTAACTCTGCATAGATTATCCTGAACTTGTTCCAAAGAAGGAACTGACTTTTTAAATTGCCAAAAGAATGACTGTAACACACGTTACTCAGTCTCCCTCCTGGCTTCATGAACAAAATCCCACAGGAGAGGTAGGCATCGGTCCCTGTAATTCTCTCTTGGGCTCCCCCTTCTGTTCTCAGCCTGAGAGGTCATGTGCTTCCTTTGGGTCAGCAGCATCAAGCATTTCAAACCTGTGCCCAGTTCTGTGTGCTCAGAGCCTGCTCCTTCCCGAGTTCTACCAGATGGAACCCTGGACCCTGGTTCCTCTGCCCTTATGTCCCTCTGGCTGCTGCCACTGTCTGTCACTCATCTTCTTGGTCCAGTCTGCACCTAGTCCGGGAGCCTGGCCTTAGAAGCCTCCTTGGCACTCACGGTGCTGGAATAGCTGCTGGCCACATGAGCTAGCTGCACCCTTCGGCCATGATCACCATCCTGGAGGCTGCTCTAGCTATTCTGCCCTTCCTGTGCCACTGTGGGCAGGGATGTGACTGCTTTCTGGCTGCTGCCACTGTCTGTCACTCATCTTCTTGGTCCAGTCTGCACCTAGTCCGGGAGCCTGGCCTTAGCAGCCTCCTTGGCACTCACGGTGCTGGAATAGCTGCTGGCCACATGAGCTAGCTGCACCCTTCGGCCATGATCACCACCCTGGAGGCTGCTCTAGCTATTCTGCCCTTCCTGTGCCACTGTGGGCAGGGATGTGACTGCTAAGCATGAAAGGCTGACACACTGCTGGCACTTGCCTAGCAGATAAGCTTATACTGGCGCACCTTCCTTGACTGTTGTCAAGGCTATATGCTCCTGACTGAACACACGGGCTTCATCTACTTTGAGGCTTACTGGAGGCATGTTTACAGTGGCCTGCTTAGCAGCATCCAGCACCTGCAGGGGGCAGTGGTCAGACATAACTGGGTGAGGTCCTGGAACTGCGACTTCATTTCTCTGAACCTCACGGGGTGGCTGGGATGCCAAAATGACATGATTATGTAACGCACAAGCATGGCACTTGGTGTACAATCAGTGTCCAACAAATGCTGGTCCCTTTCCTCCTACCTCCTGCCCACCACAAAACCCAAATGTGTGCGGGTCCATTTTCTGGAGGGGCAATGGCTGGGTCGATAGGCTATTTACAGCGGCTGACCCCTCTGCTTCTGTCCCTTGTTAAGCAGTAAGTGAGGGCTGCTACCTGCTTGCTTGCTGTTTGAGATTTCTTCAGGGGGGGCTCCTCCTTTACTGGAACCTGCTTTGGTTTTCTGATCTTCCGTTTCAGTTCATCTTCTTCCTTCTGTCGCTCAAGCTCCTGCTGTAGCTTCTTTTCTTGCATCTCCTTTGCCAGCCTCTCCAGCTCCCTTCATCAAACCAGGAAGAGAGAACAGAGATCAGGGCCCTCCTGCCCAGGCCTCTCGTCTGCCTGGGACTGCCAGGTGGAGGGACAGTGAGCAAAGCTTTCTTGGGCATAAAAAGAAAGAAAGAACAAAAGAAAGCTGGGTAAATAGGAAGGAAGGAAGGAAGAAAGGAGAAGGAAAGGAGGAAAGAAAGAATGAATGGTCTTTTAGCAAAACTCACTGAAACTCAACTAGGAGGAATTATCAATCCATCTGCATTTCTATTCCAATCTCCTTTCATAGGAGAGTGAGGCAAGGGCAGGGTAGGAGGAGAAATGGCCAAGCTCTGGGGAGAAACTGCCACGCCCATGTCAAAGGAGAGGACCCTGGGCCACCAGCTGTGGTCCCCTAAGCACAGAGGCTGATAAGCCACACCCAAGGTGCACTTGTCAGGGGAGCCAACAGGGACCTCAGGACAGCACAGGGGCCAGAAGCCCCTCACCCAGGGCCAGCCATGACATCACAGAAGCTCCCCTTAGTCCCAAATGACCCCCAGTGAGAAGGAAGTGGAGGAGAGTGGAAGAGACCCTGAAAGGCTGCAGCACCCAGTGCCCTGGATGGGCAAGACATGCTTTCCTGCTCCCAGCAGGCATCTTCCAGGGTCTTCTGTGGCTACCGTTGCTCTTCTGGAAGATGAGCAGAGCGGAGAGCACGCCAGGCCAGCCCTGTTCTCCGAGGGAGCTTCCCCCTGAGGATGGCTTCCGCTCTGGCCAGCCCGTGGTTCTGACCTCTTCTTCCTTTCCTGGAGCGCCTGCTGGACCTCCCGATCGAAAATGTGTTTCTCCTCTTCCGTCAAGGCAGCATATTCTTCCTCGTCCATATTTTGGAGACGCTCTTTCTCTTTCTCAAGAGCTTCCCTGCGTTTGCATTCTATGGGGGAAACCAAGACAGGAAGGTGAGAAAAAGCCCTCAGCAGCTTAGCTCCCAGCTGGAGCAGGCCGAGGAGGGTCCGTGACAGTGGGAGGTGGCTGGTGTGGTGGCTGGCACACCTAATCTGTGGTGGGATTCCCTTCTTCACCGTCCCAAATGTGGGCTCCATCTGTGGTCAGCTGAATAGTGGCCCCTAAAGATGCCCATGTCCTAATGCTCGGAACCTGTGACTATGTTGCCTTCCAAGGCAGAGGGAGTTTGCAGATGTGACCTTGAAATAGGAAGCTTATCCTGAATTATCTGGGTAGGCCCAATCTAATCACTAGGGTCCTTATAAGAGGGAAGCAGGAGAGTCAGAGTCAGAGAAGGTGACAGTGGGAGCAGAGGGAGCTGTGACAGTGCATGCAGAGGTCAGAGGGCTGCAAGGAAGGGGCCATGAGCCAAGGACTGCAGGTGGCCTCTAGAAGCTGGGAAAGGCAAGGGAAAAGATTCTCCCCTATGGTCTCCAAAGGAACACAGCCCTGCTAACACTGGGATTTTAGGACTTTTGACCTCAGAACTGTAAGATAAATTTGTTTTAAGTCACCAAGTTTGTGGTTGCTATGGTCTGACTGTGTGCATTCCCCCCCAAATCATACATTGAAACCTAATCCCCAATGTGATAGTATTAAAAGGTAGGGACTTTAAGAGGTGATTAGGTCATGGGGTGGAGCCCTCATGAATGGGATCCGTGTCCTTATAAAAAGAGGCCCAAGGAAGCTTGTGTGCCTCTCCTGCAGGTGAGGAGTCAGCGAGAAGGCTCAGATTCCTTCTATGACCAGAAGATGGCCCTCACCAGACACCGAATCTGCTGGCACCTTGATCTTGGACTTCTTAGTCTCCAGGACTATAAGAAATAAAATTCTGTTGTTTATAAGCCACCCAGTCTTTGACACTTTGTTATAGCTGCCAGAACAGACTAAGACAGTGTTAATTTGTCACAGTAGTGACAGGAAACTAATATACCACCCATCAACTTTACCCATTATGTATGCCACCAAAGTGCTCAGACTGACAGAGCCATTTGCAAACCAAGGGGAGTCCCTTCCACACCCCGTGGATTTCAGGTCCAGGCATGTGGTTCATACTCAGGACAAAGGTACCTGGCTTCTTTGTCACGCTTTCCTAGCACAGCATTCTCACCTCACATCCTTGCAAGTTTGAGCTTTGGACTCAGAGACCTACACTTGAGTTCTTTGCCACTTATCAAGGAATAATAACACAGAAGAGTAATGATTTCTTCCTCTTAAGCAATCACATGAAGCATTTAGCCTAGTACCTGGCACCTTCATAACTGTTTAATGGGCAGTCAATTTTAATATAATAATATTACAGCAGGATGCCTTAGGGCTTTTTCAGTTGCAGGGGAGAGGAGCCCACAATGTAACCACAAGAAATCTTAATCCAAAGTTAACTGAGAAAATGAAAAGTGATAATTTCTTTCAAACTGATCATTATGAAAAAAGGAGCTTTCCAGAAAACTAGGAAGCTGGAGTTGGAATACTGCTGTGGGATGTCTGGTCATTGTTTCTGATTTTTCTCTGGGTGAGAATATAAGGAAACACACTTTGAGTCTGTTCAAGAACTAAGAGAGACAGTGTTTATAAATATTTCCTTAGTTAGAAAACCACTATAATTTGTGTAGATTGTGTCAGAAGAGAGAGGCAAACCCAAGTGAGAAGGGGAAGTCACGCGGCCGGAGCTGAGGCTTCACAATGTCACCAGTCAGTGGCTGTCCCCAAACTTATCCCCCATGAGCCAAGATTTGTTGAGTCTGCTTCTGACTTAATTGGACAATTGAGCTGATATTGTTCTCTCTCACTCACTCTCTCTCTCTCTCTCTCTGTCTATAGCTATTTTTTAATCAAATCTTTCAATTATAGAAATTTTGTCCCAGGCCATTGGTGCAATGACAGAAAAAGCAAAGGTTTTGGGGTTACACAGAACTGGTTCTCCTGCTAATTTACAATGTGAACTTACACAAGTCTTTTGCTAGCTCTCAGCATCATTTCCCTCATTTGTACAATGGAGACATAATCTTCATAGGATTATTGTGGCAATTAAATGACCCAAAGTGTAGAAAGTGTCTGCTCCAGTGCCAGGTGCACAGAAGGCAAAGGTGTAGAAGTTGTTTTGCAAAATGTATCAGCATCTCTACAGGAAATGCACAGTTGGCTTAAACAAAACCAACAAGCAAATCAGCCGTCTGGGTCAGGATGGGGACCCATGAGGTGTTCTCCTCAGGCCAGTTGTAAGTACAGAAAAGACGAAGGGATGTGGTGTGACATGAGGGGAAGAGGAATGTGTCTGATGTCGGAGGAGCTGGGTTCTGCCTTTGTTACATGAGGGTACTCCAAAAAGTTTATGGAAAAGTGGAACCAAAAGACAAATCTTCCCATGAACTTTCTCAAGATCCCACGTACAACCTCTCAACAGGCTGCTAATGTTTCAGCTCCCTCTGAGAAACAGGAACTCCTCACAGGGCAGAGGTGAGGCGCCAGTGGGATGGCACCTGTAAACGTTTCATTTAAGCCCAGTGGATGATCACATTAGGAAACCAACCGTTTTGAAAAGCCTGACCCCCTGTTTAAAGGAAAGACCTGTTAGGGCTTGAGGACAGCCCAGGAAGGGATGGGGCCTTGCCTTCTTGCTCCTTTTTGGCCTTCTCCTGGGCCTTCATGGCTGCGTAGTCTTGGGCCATGTTGACAGCGTATATGTGCTCGCGGTTGCCGATGGCTTTCAGCAGGCAGAGCAGGGCGGCAGCTGCGTTCCGAGCAAAGAGTGTGTCCAGGCCATCAAACACCACTCCACGGAAGCAGTCACTCAGCTGAAAGCAGAAAGAGCACAGGCAGTCACCACGGCCACCTATGAGATCACTTGCTGTCTACGGAGGACGCTGTTCTTTGATTGGTGCTTTTACTGGTGTTTCAGCGAGTTCTGCAGACCTATGGGGCCCTGACAAAAACACCATTAAACTGCCCTTCTGCTTGCTCAATCCAAGGTATCATAACAAAATAAAAGAGAGGGATAAAAATATCTAATCAGCCACAGATGGTCTTTATTGTACATATTTGTAGAGTCGAGGATTTATTCTGTCTGTATGGAAATAAAAGAAAAAAACAAAATGTTCAAGTGAGGGTCTGGGAAGATCCACGAGGCACAGGAAAAGAAGATGGGAAGGGAAGATGTTCCCATGCACAGAATCACAGGCTGCAAGAGCAGCGTGGTGGGTGGGCCATTCGCATCTTTCTTAGTGGTCAGGGGTGTAATGACTTTGGTAAAACTGACCATGGAAAAACAGGCTCTGCTGCACTGCAGCGTTACTCAAAGTGCGGCCCACAGATCGGCCACTGATCATTACCAGTTTTTGATGAGACAAGACGCTTGTGTCAGAACATAAATATCACTAAACACACTGTTTAGTTCAGCTGGCTTTTTTCTTTTTCTTTTTAATTTGTAGCAAGACTTCCCCGACACCCCACCACCAAATCTAGATTTGTTTCTTTAGAAAAGTGTTCAATTTTCATACAGTTTAAAAGATGACACTTGTAAATTACATGACTGCTATTTTGCAAAATTTACTCTGAAACCAAGTCAGTGGTGTACTGGTGTGTGTCAAAGGTCTATTGTTGAAGGTACACAAAAGTTTTTGTTTTTGGTCCCCTAGAGTCACCTGGTAACCCAGTTCAATGCTTAAACAATTCATTATGAGATATTTAAAGGCTTCAGAATCTGTATCTACACATTACTACTTCCCTCACAAAATATGTACCTTAAGGGCCTGTACATAGTTCAATAAATATTCCTGGATTTGGCTTTTATTAGACCTTTGTTCTGTTCAAGGATGGCAAATCTTTCATCCCTAGGCTGTTTGTTACCACACACAGTCCATGTCCACAGCTATGCATGATTCAGTCTCGATTTGCAAACTTCAATCATTTAAGTGTATTTATTTCCACTCTCTCATTCACAAAGGAAGTGAGACATGTATTTTTATATTCATAATCTCTCACTTAGAAATATAACCCAGATACCACCTCATCATATTTCTTGGGAAGACCTTTATCCAAATAAGTTACAATAATATTTTAAATTTTATCAATAAAAATAAACAAAACTAACAAGCTTAGTAGCCACTTTGTATTTACAGGGGGATCAAAGAGATTTTTTAAAAAATCTTTAAAAAAAAAATTCATTTATTTATTATTATTAGTTTTTTGCATTCTAAGATGCTGTGGAGCAGTTGGGGGAAGGGAGAGATAGGATGTGAGGAGGAGGAAGGAGGGGGAGGCGTGGTGGAGGCCTGTGGCATCCCCCCTCATTCTGGCAGGGGGCTTCTGGTGGTGGCTTGGAGCCTGGATGTAGACGTTGGTGGGGTGTGGCTGAGGCCCTAAGCATCCAACCCCTGGCTCTGGAGCCCAGGGAGCTTCTAGTAGTGGCTCGGTTGTTGTCTCTGGGCTGGACGTGGATGTTAGGAAGGCATGGCTGGGGCCCTCAGCCCCCTACCACTCTGGTTTGGGAGCCCAGGGCACCTCTGGTGGCAGCCTAGTGGTGGTTTCTGGGCTGGATGCAGACACTGGGGTAACATGGCTGAGACCCTTGGCCCCTGACACCCCAGCTTGGGAGCCCAGGGGGCTTCCAGTCCTTCTAGGTTTTTTTTTTTTTCCTTTTTTCCTTTTTAACTGACCAGTAACGGGATCGCAACCCTCGGTGTCGCACCCGGACCGGGGACCGGCAACGGTATCGCAACCCTTGGTGTTGCTCCCGCACCGTGCTCAGCCAGTGAGTGGGAACCGGTCTCCACATGGGATCCGAACCCTCAGTGGGAGCGCTGCTGTGCTCCCAAGCAGTGCACTCTCCAGTGCGCCACCAGGCTGGCCCGAGTCCTTCTAGGTTTTAAAGGTGTTTTTTGGTGATGTTAGAACTTTACTGGTTAATATCAGAACTTTGTCTCTGATCTGTGGGTTTTTTGTGTTTTCTTTCATTTTTGTGTTGGATTATTAGCTACTCCCACCACTTATACTCTGCACTGGAACTAATTTGTTGTCCTTTGCTTACTTCTAAAATGGGGGAACTTCCTGTGGGGACCAGCACTTGAGCCCTGTGGTTGAGTTAAATTGCTGCTTTGCTGCTGATTCTGTGGGGAAGGCTTTTTGTGCAGCTCAGATTTTAATTGTTGGCCTTTCAGGAACTTTAATTGTTGGCCTTTAGGGTCTTGTGAGGTCTGTTACACCTGGGTTGTGTGGAAATTCTGGTCTAGGCCTGAGTCTTTTCAGCGAACTGCACTCCCTGCAGATCTATACTTCTGACAAGTCTCCACTGAGTGATCCTGTGCTGACTGGGGGGCAGATCAGCTGTCCATGCTGTGCCCCATTGTTCCCCCAGTGGGCCCATCTCCCCCACTGCCTGGACTCCAAACATTTCCCATGGGATGGGCTACGAGCAAGTCCTTTGTGATGGCTCACCGCCTCTGGGTGGCTCCTTTTTCCCATTGTCTGTGGCCCCTCATTCCTACGTGGGTCCATGGGAACCCAGTCAGTGGTCTTGATGGCCTGGGGGCCACCAAGGCCCTTTTCTCCACTACAGCCTCCAAGCAACTTCATATGAAGGGAAAAGCAGTGGCTTTTGTCAGCTCTTGCTCTGTGTGCTCACCAGGGTCAACCTTGAAGTGGCTGGGGCTTGAAACAGACATATCAATCCTTTCTTTCTCTCATCATGGCTTCTCCTGCCTTCATGAACTCCGTAGGTCTCTCCTCCTCTTCCCCTGAGCTCTAGTGACCCCAGCTTGGCTGTTGTTGCTTTTTAATAGTTATAAATTGGTTGATTGTGGGAGAGAGTGACACTGGTTACTGTCTCTTCTGCCGTCTTGATCAGAAGTTGAGATATTTTTGAACAAAGATTTTGATACACAGTTATCTAGTCTTGCTCAAAACCCAGATTGCTCTTGTTTGTAAACTGATCCCAAAATGTCTAGTGATGTGCTGGCATGCCGGTAAACTGGATCTCTGGCAGGGGAAAAAACCTCTGATTTATAGGATTTGCCAATTTCTGTGGTGCAAACACTCCCACCACTGACAACTGATAGATGTTTTTGTTGAAGTTGTTTCATCAAAAGAATATTTACATGTGAATCTCTAAACCCACATACACACCCCCACCATTCTACACAAATGTACATACTGTGATTCCTCCTCTTACTTCTCAAAGGGGTGTGAGAGGAACAGTTTGTTTCCTAGGGAATGACATAGACAGGACAGCTTCTTTATAAGACTGACAGAACTGGGGAGACAGAACGCTATCTCAGGTAACTCTGATCTTCCAACTCTTATCTATTGTAAATAGAGCTGCAATAAACATGGGGGTGCAGGTATCCCTTCGACATGATGATTTCCATTCCTTTGGGTACACACGCAGCAGTGGGATTTCTGGATTGTATGGTAGTTTTGTCTGTAGTTGTTTGAGGAAACTCCATACTGTTTTCCATAATGGCTGCACTAATTTATGATCCCACCAATAGTGTAGGAGGGTTCCCCTTTCTCTACATCCTCACCAGAATTTGTTATTCTTTGTCTTTTTAATAATGGTCAGTCTAACTGGTGTGAAATGACATCTCAATGTGGTTTTGATTTGCATTTCCCTGGTGATTAGCAATGTTGAGCATTTTTTCATGTGACTTTTGGCCATTCATATATCTTCCTTTGAAAAATGCCTACTCAGCCCCTTTGCCCAATTTTTGATCAGGTTACTTGTTTTTTTACTGTTAACTTATTTGAATTCCTTGTATATTCTGGATAGTAATCCCTTGTCAGATGCATAGTTTGCAAATATTTTCTCCCATTCTGTAGGTTGTATTTTCACTTTGTTAATTGTTTCTTTTGCTGTGCAGAAGCTTTTTAGCTTGATGTAATCCCATTTATTTTTCCTTTTGTCACTTGTACTTTTAGGGTCTCATTCATATAGTCTTTGCCCAGTCCTACTTCCTGAAGTTTCCCCCATGCTTTCTTTTAGCAGTTTTATAGTTTCCAGTCTTGTATTTAAGTCCTTAATCCATTTTGAGTTGATTTTGTTATATGGTGAGAGGTATGGGTCTAGTTTCATTCTTCTACATATGGATGTCCACTTTCCCCAGCACTGTTTATTGAAGAGGCAGCCTTTTCCCCAATGCTAAACTTATTGCCTTTGTCAAAGATCAGTTGGCTGTAAATATATTGGTTGATTCTGGGTTCTCTATTCTGTTCTCTGTTTCATTGGTCTGAGTGTCTGTTTTTACACCAGTACCATGGTATTTTGGTTACTATAGCTTTGTAGTATAATGTGAAGTCAGGTAGTAAGTACTATGCCTCTATCTTTGTTTTTCTTTGCTCAGGATTGCTTTGGCTCTTTGGGGTCTTTTGTTGTTCCATAAAATGTTAGGATTGTTCTTTCTTTTTCTGTGAAGAATGCTATTGGTATTTTGATGGGGATTACATTGAATCTGTAGATTGCTTTGAGTAGTGTGGACATTTTCACAATGTTTATTCTTTCAATCCAAGAGCATGGACTGTCTTTCCATCTTCTTGTGTCCTCTTTAATGTCTTTCAGCAGTGATTTGTAGTTCTCATTGTAGAGATCTTCCACCCACTTGGTTAAATTGATTCTTAGGTATTTTATTTTCTTGGTGACCACTGTAAATGGGATTGCTTTCTTGATTTCTTTTTCTGCTAGTTCGTTATTGTAGTACACAAATGCTACTGATTTTTGTGTGTTGATTTTGTATCCTGCAACTCAACTGAAATTGTTTATAAGCTCTAAGAGTTTCTTTGGTAGAGTCTTTAGATTTTTCTATAT